AGACTATGCTGCTCCAACGACTATCTGGAAATTAGAATCTCTAGACCATTGACTCCTAATTGGATATACTAAATAAATAGCAGGAAATCATTCTATTGCTTGTGTAGACAGTGCAAGTTATAAAAACTACTTAGACTCTGATATTTTAGACTAAAGACGTGGGAGCTGAAGTAGGTCATTCAGCCCATGGAGTCTGTTCTACCATTCAGTGAGATCTGATAATCATTACTGCCACTTTCCTGCCTTTTCTCCATATCCCTTCATTCTCTTACTAATTAGAAATCTATCTATCTCAGCCTTGAATATATTTAATGACAGCCCTCTGCGGTAAAGGTTTCCATGGATTCACTACTCTCAGAAGAAATTCCTCCTTTCAAATGTGCAACTTATTCTTGAGATTATTCCCTCTCGTCCTAGACTCTCACATAAGGGGGAAACAACCTCACCGCACCTACCCTATCAAGTCCCCTAAGAATATTATAAGTTTCAATAAGGTCCGTCTTCTAAATTCCAATGAGTATAGGCCCAACCTTTGCTACCTGTCTTCAAGGCAGACCTAGGATCAGCCAAGTGAAGCTGCTCTGGACTGCCTCCAATGCCAGAATGTCCTTCCTTGGATAAGGAGCCCAAACTGGTCTGTTGCTCAAAACTAGAGAGCAAGAAAAGGTTATTTACCACAGTACATCAATACTGAATGGCTTGCTTACTTGTGGTAGTCTCTGATGCAGTTGATCTTGTTCTCGGTATCTGAGTGAACCAGACACTGTCAAGGCACTTGTTACGAAGTTGCAGTGGAAACCTCCAGAATCATATCCTTTATGAAGTAGCCACAGGCAAAGCACTTGTCAGCAGATTACTGGAAAGCAGAGTGCAGAAATCTTTCCTGCAGTTGACCTTGGATTATTACTTAGCTGTCACTTAAGATCAATTGCAACAGACATTCCCAGTGTTTTTTTCAAACAATATCCTTGAGATGCTCTTTTCAGCTTCACAATGTATTTTGCCACACCAGGAGGCAATCCGCAATATTTCATTCTTGGACTTTTGCCATACCTTTCAACATGCCCAAATCAAATACAGATAGTTTTCCCCAGGAACTAAAGTGTGATTTTGTGCACCGCATAGTAGGCCAGGAGTGAGTAATAAACCTTTTTAAAGATGTGGGCATTGCAGGGTAGGCTTGCAATTATTATCTATCTCTAATAGCCAGGACAAGGTTGTTGTGAGATGCCTTCCTGAACCACTACAGTCCATGTGGTATAGGTACATTCACAATGCTCTTAAAAGGGAGCTCCAGGAAGCAATGACAATATAGTCCCAAGTCGGGATGGTGTGTCACTTGGAGGGAAACTTGCACACGGTGGTGTTCCCACGCATCATCTGCCCTTGTCATGGGTTTGGAAAGTGGGAAGAAGCCTTGGTGAGTTGTTGAAGTGCATTCTGCAGATGGTGTAACATGCTGTCACTGTGCATCAGTGGTGGAGGTAGTAACTGCTTGAAGGTGTTTGTTCCTCCCCACCAATATCTTTTGGACAAGTGGCAAGTATTCCATCACAGTCTTGATTTGCACCTTTTGATTAGAATTCATAGCCTCTGACCTGCTCTTATAGTCATACTATTTATACGGATGGTGCAATTCAGTTTCTGGTCAACAGTAACCCCGAAGATGTTGAAAGTGGGAGATTCAGCATTGGTAACATCATTGAATATCAAGTGGGAGTGGTTGGATATTTTTCTTCTTGGAAATGTCTATTTTCTGGCACATGTGACACAATGTTACTTGCCACTCATCAGCCGAAAGGCCTAGGCTTTGCTGCATATGGACATAAACTTCTGTAGTATTTGAGGAGTCATGAATGGTGCAGAATATTACACATAATTATTAGTGAATACCCTCACCTCTGACCTGACCTTTTAAGGTGGAGGTGGGGATAAGATGCTGCTCCTTGCCTGAGCCCTGCCTCAGCCTTCAGCCCCAGCACAGTGGCTCCCCCTCTGATCCCAGATATCCCTTTCTACATCGTTCCACTCCCCATAGGTCTGTAGTCAATGAAAACATGCCATGTTGCTAACAATTTTTTGATTTTTTTTTCAGGATATCAGTGTGAAATGCTAACTTTGTTTCTCTCTCTACAGATGCTATGATGTGGAGGTTGCTGGTGTTGGATTGGGGTGGACAAGGTCAGAAATCACATAATGCCAGATTGTAGTCCAACAGGTTTGTTTGAAAGCACAAGCTTTCAGATCCTCATTCCTCCTTCAGGTCTTAGTGAGAGAGGTAGTATCAGACACAGAATTTATAAGTAAAAGATCAAAAGGTCACACCACTGATCAGGAAGTATTAAACAAACCTGAGATGCTGTTAACACAGTGGGGAGTTGGAGGAACACAGGCCAGGCAGCATCAGAAGAGCAGGAAAGTTGACGTTTTGGGTCGGGACCCTTCTTCAGAAATGGGGAGGGGGAAGGGAGCTCAGAAATAAATAGAGAGAGGAGGGGTGGTTCTGGGGAAAGTAGGTGGGATGGTGTTTGGTGAGTGCAGGTAGGAAGTGGTGGGGATTGGTCAATGAGGTGGGACGGGCAGATACCTGCCTACTTGACCTGACCCACCAGTTTTTAAAATCTCCCCACCCTCAGCCTCATCCCATACCCAACCCTCCCTATCATCCCTGCCTCCTTGACCTGGCACAACCTGTCCATCTTCTCTCCCACCTATCTGCCCCTCCCACCTCACTGATCAATCCCCACCACTGCCTACCTGCACTCACCTATCACCATCCCACCTACTTTCCCCAGACCCACCCCTCCTCAATAGTTTCCCAGCTGCCTTTCCGCTCCCCATTTCTGAAGAAGGGTCCCGATCCGAAATGTGAACTTTCCTGCTCCTCTGATGCTGCCTGGCCTGCTGTGCTCCTCCAGCTCCACACTGTGTTATCTCTGACTCCAGCACCTGCAGTTCTTGCTATTTCTGAGATGTTGTTAAGTCTTTAATCAGTTAGAAGATGTTAATTGATTAATATGGATATGTAAATCCCTGAATTCCTTTCAAGTGAGAGAACTAAAGGTTTTATCAGTGTAAAGAGGAGGTGACATTTTTTAAGTCAGACAATGCAGCTTAGATGTGAGGCCTCATTTAGAATCTGTTTGCATTTTGGTTTGGAGTCAGACCGGTTTTATTTCTAAAAGTAGGAATTTATAAAACGCCACATTGACTGACTGACTGTCCATAAATTGTATACCTTGGGTAAACATCCTCCAAGGCTGACTTCAGGATACACAACAATGCAGAGTTGCTGAGCAGAGGCTGATAGCAAAGTTTGGTACCCATGAGGACAGCCTCAACCGGGATGTTGGGTTCATGTCGCGCTGCAGGTGACCCCACCGCACTATACACTCTCTCTGTCTCTCTCGTATGCATACATACACACACACACTAACGTTCTCTTGCGCACACAGATCCTTTCTTTGTCATTCACACAGTCTGCCAAGCGTGTGTGCACAAGCGCACGCACATACGCGCGCACACACAGTTACTTTCTCTCTCTGTCTGTCTCGGTCTCTCTGAATCTATAGGGTGAATTTGTATTTGCAGATACAGTCTATTTTGTCCAAAAAGCACACAATTTATAGACAGTCAGTCAATGTGGCGTTTTGTAAATTCCTATTTTTGGAAATAAAACCAATCTGACTCCAAACCAAAACACACACAGATTCTGAACAAACCTTCCCACCTAAGATGCATTGTCTGACCTAAAATGTCACCACTTCTCTTACACTGATAAAACATCTCTCAGGACAGTGACTTGAAAGGAATTTGGGGATTTACATATACATATTAATCAACTAAAACCTTCTAACTGATTAAAGATTTAACAGCATTTCAGGTTTGTTTAGTACAACCTGATCAGTAGTGTGACTCTTTAATCTCTTACTTATAAATTCTGTGTCTGATACTACCGCTCTCATTAACACTTGAAGGAGGAATGAGGCTCTGAAAGCATATGTTATCAAATAAACCTGTTGTCATGTGATTTCTGACCTGGTCTACAGATGCTGCCAGACTTGCTGAGCATTTTTAGCATTTTGTGTTTTTGTGCAAACTGTTATTAATTGCCCATCCATAAAATCTGTCTCCGCACAGATAGGTGTGTGCAACTCAATTATTACTCAATTGTATTGAGACCATTCAGCCCAGTGGATCCATGTTTCTGCTAATGCTCCACCTGTGCCTGGCACTCTTTATCAGATTTCATCAGTGCAGTCTTCTGTTCCTTTCTTCATGATCTCTGTGGTCTAACCAAAGTTGTATATTTAAAACAAAAATAGAAATTGCTGGAAAAGCTCAGCAGGTCTGGCAGCATCTGTGAAGAGAAATTAGAGTTAATGTTTCGGGTCAGGTGACCCTTCCTCAGAACGGATACTGCCAGATCTGCTGAGCTTTTCCAGCAATTTCTGTTTTTGTTTTGATTTACAGCACCCTCAGTTCTTTTTGGTTTTTACCTATAAATTTAAAATATCTTTTTGCTTTTCTTGTCTGCCCCTTGAAAAGAAACAGTGTTTTGGTTTTGTTTTGATGGCTTTATACTTTCTACTCGGTGATTTTATATATCTTTTTCTGTTTTTCTGACATTTGGTCATAACGCTGCAATTAACATTTTACAACATTTAGAAATTAAGTGAACTGAAATAATTACATTTGAGCTACTGTAAGTATCTTAAAGACATTTTAACGCTTGCAGTATGAGTACTTTACTTTTCTAATTACCGCTCTAACAGCTATTTTGTCACCATTCAGTACGAGTTTATTCGAGTCAAATACATTATTTTAAATAAATACATCTTGTTTTTAAGAATACACCAGTTTAATTTTTAGTATGTCCCAGGCTTATAAAGATTGGGTTCTTGGGAATGTGCCAGCACTGATGTATCAGTGAATGAATTCATTCAGATTTTAAATTGCATGTCTGTCTTTAATAAAATAATACATTTGCTTTGTTGCAGGAGATCTGCCTTAGAGAATCTGAGATTGTATTATGCGCAGGATCAGAAAGCATGAGCCAGGCTCCTTATGCAGTTCGAAATGTACGATTTGGCACAAAGCTTGGGGTTGATATCAAGGTAAAATTCACTTTTTTAAAACAAATTAATTAATGGGGATGTGAGCATCACTAGCTAGGCCAATATTTATTGCCTATCTCTAAATGTCCTTAAAAATTGTTAAGCTGCTTGCTTGAATGACTGCAGTTTATGTAATGTAAGAAAACTTACGGTGCTGTTATGAAGGGAGCTTCAAGATTTTGATCCAGAGTTAGTTCAGGAAAATCAGCTTTTAGTTCAAAGTGTGTGTGTGGCTTTGTATAGGATATGGAAGTGGTGGCATTCCCATGCATCTGCTGCATTTGTCCTTTTAGGTGATGAAAGTGCTGTTGATGGAACCTTATTAAGTTGCTAGAATAGTTGTAGATGGTATGCCATGCTGCGAATGTGAGCATTCATTCTCTTCTTCACTGGCACAAAGTGGGCAGCTTTGACTTGGATATTTTTGAGTCTTTTGAGTGTTGATGGAGCCACAGTCACAAGAAGTGAAGTATGTTCTATTACACTGCGGACTTGTGTTTTGTAAATAGGGTGAACAGGCTTTGAGATGTCAGGAAGTGAGTTTCTTGCTGCAGAGTTCCCAGCCTCTGATCTATTCTTGTAACCACTGTACTTATACAGCTGCTCCTGTTAAGTTTCTGATCTACAGTTATCATTAGGCCAATGATGGTGGAGGATTCTGTGCAAAAACATTCAACAGGAACTGTGGGCATTCTGGCTAAGTTTGCAGACGATACAAAGATAGGTGGAAGGACAGGTAGTATTGAGGAGGTGGGGAGGCTGCAGAAGGATTTGGACAGATTAGGAGAGTGGGCAAAGAAGTGGCAGCTGGAGTACAATGTGGGTAAGTGTGAGGTCATACACTTTGGTAAGAAGAATAAAAGCATGGACTATTTTCTAAATAGGGAGAAAATTCAGATGTCTGACGTGCAAAGAGGCTTGGGAGTTCTAGTCCAGGATTCTCTCAAGGTAAACTTGCAGGTTGAGTCAGTAGTCAGGAAGGCAAATGCAATGTTGGCATTTATTTTGAGAGGACTTGAATATAAAAGCAGGGATGTACTGCTGAGGCTTTACAAGGCTCTGGTCAGGCCACATTTGGAGTATTGTGCGCAGTTTTGGGCCCCATATCTCAGGAAGGATGTACTGGCCCTGGAGTAGGTTCAGAGGAGGTTCACGAGAATGGTTCCAGGAATGAGAAGCTTAACATATGAGGAACGTTTGAGGACTGTGGGACTATACTCATTGGACTTTAGAAGAATGAGGGGCGATCTAATTGAAACTTACAGAATACTAAATGGCCTGGGCAGAGTGGATGTTGGGAAGATGCTTCCATTGGTAGGAGAGACTAGGACCCAGGGGCACAGCCTTGGAGTAAAGGGAAGACCTTTTAGAATGGAGATAAGGAGAAACTACTTCAGCCAGAGAGTGGTGAATCTATGGAATTCACTGCCACAGAAGGCTGTGAAGGCCAGGTCATTGAGTACATTTAAGACTGAGATAGATAGGTTCTTGATTATCAAGGGGATCAAGGGTTACGGGGAGAAAGCAGGAGAATGGGGTTGAGGAAATTATCAGCCATGATTGAATGGCAGAGCAGACTCGATGGGCCGAATGGCCTAATTTCTGCTCCTGTGTCTTATGGTCTTAACATCATGGGGCGATGGTTATTCCCTGATATTTCTGTTGTGCGTATGTTATTTGCCGCTTAACCTGAATTTTGTCCAGATTTCAGGGACAACTACTTGTAGGGATGAACTGCTTCTGTATCCAAGGAGTAAGGCATAGTACTGAACACGATAAAATCATCAGTGAGCAGCTTCACTTCTGACTTCATGTTGAAGGGAAAGTCATTGATAAAGTAGGTGAGAATAGATAGGCCTAGAGTATAATCTTGAGGAACTCATGCAGTGGTATTCTGGGGTTAAGATGATTTGGCCTCCAACAGCCATAACCACCTGCCTTTATGGTAGGTGTGACTCTAACCAGTGTAGAGCCTTCCCCCTCATTTCCACCTTTGCCACCATCAGTGCTTCCTCCAATTGGTGCTCAACATGGAGTACTGATTCATTAGCTGCAGGGTGGTACATTGTAATCAGCAGGATGTTCAGTTGCCCATGTTTGACCTGACACTGTGGAACTTCATGGGTCTGAAGTCAATGTTGAGAACTCCTGGGAGAACTCCCTCCCAAATGTATATTTGCTAACGCTGTTGGGAGGGTTTAAACTAATGTGGCGGGGGATGGGAACCAAATGAGGAGGTTAGTGGACTGTAAGGAGGTAGTAGCTAAAGCCTGTAAGGAACTAGATAATGAAGTCAGTGTGACTAAAGGGAAGAGTAGGCAGAGAGCAGATGATGAACGCAAAGGTACAGGTGGTCTGAGGTGCATTTGTTTTAATGCGAGAAGTGTAGTAGGTAAGGCAGATGAACTTAGGGCTTGGATTAGTATCTGGGAGTTTGATGTTATTGCTGTTACTGAGACTTGGTTGAGGGAAGGGCAAGATTGGCAACTAAATATCCAAGGTTATAGATGCTTCAGGCGGGATAGAGAGGGAGGTAAAAGGGGTGGAGGAGTTGCATTACTGGTCAAAGAGGATATCACAGCTGTGCTGAAGGAGGGCACTATAGATGACTCGAGCAGTGAGGCAATATGGGCAGAGCTCAGAAATAGGAAGGGTGCGGCAACAATGTTGGGGCTGTACTACAGGCCTCCCAACAGCGAGCGTAAGATAGAGGCACAAATAGTAGACAGAATATGGAAAGATGTAGGAGCAACCGGGTGGTGGTGATGGGAGATTTTAATTTTCCCAACATTGACTGAGATTCACTTAGTGTTAGGGGTTCAGATGGAGCAGAATTTGTAAGGAGCATTCAGAAGGGTTTTCTAGAGCAGTATGTAAATAGTCCAACTCGGGAAGGGGCCATACTGGACCTGGTGTTGGGGAATGAGCCTGGCCAGGTGGTTGAAGTTTCAGTAGGGGATTACTTTGGGAATAGTGACCACAATTCCGTAAGTTTTAGAATACTGATGGACAAAGACGAGAGTGGTCCTAAAGGAAGAGTGCCGAATTGGGGGAAGGCCAACTATAGCAAAATTCGGCAGGAGCTGGGGAATGTGGATTGGGAACAGCTGTTTGAAGGTAAATCCACATTTGATATGTGGGAGGCTTTTAAAGAGAGGTTGATTAGAGTGTAGGACAGACATGTCCCTGTGAAAATGAGGGATAGAAAGGGCAAGATTAGGGAACCATGGATGACAGGTGGAATTGTGAGACTAGCAAAGAGGAAAAAGGAAGCATACACAAGGTCTAGGTGACTGAAAACAGACGAAGCTTTAGAAGAATATCGGGAAAGTAGGACCAATCTGAAACGAGGAATTAAGAGGGCTAAAAGGGGTCATGAAATATCTTTAGCAAACAGGGTTAAGGAAAATCCCAAAACCTTTTATTCGTACATAAGGAGCAAGAGGGTAACTAGAGAAAGGGTTGGCCCACTCCAGGACAAAGGAGGGAAGTTATGCGAGGAGTCAGAGAAAATGAGTGAGATTCTTAATGAGTACTTTGCGTTGGTATTCACTGAGGAGAGAGACATGACGGATGTTGAGGTTAGGGATAAATGTTTGATTACTCTAGGGCAAGTCGGCATAAGGGGGGGGGAAAGTGTTGGGTGTTCTAAAAGGCATTAGGGTGGACAAGTCCCCAGGTCTGGATGGGATCTATCCCAGGTTACTGAGGGAAGCGAGAGAGGAAATAGCTGGGGCCTTAACAGATATCTTTGCAGCATCCTTGAGCACGGGTGAGGTTCCGGAGGACTGGAGAATTGCTAATGTTGTCCCCTGGTTTAAGAAGGGTACCAAAGATAATCCAGGTAATTATAGACCGGTGAGCCTGACGTCAGTGGTGGGGAAGCTGCTGGAGAAGATACTGAGGGATAGGATCTATTTACATTTGGAAGAAAATGGGCTTATTAGTGATAGGCAGCATGGTTTTGTGCAGGGAAGGTCATGTCTTACCAACTTGATAGAATTCTTTGAGGAAGTGACAAAGTGGATAGATGAGGGAAGGGCTGTAGATGTCATATACATGGACTACAGTAAGGCATTTGATAAGGTTCCCCATGGTAGGCTGATGGAGAAAGTGAAGTCGCGTGGGGTCCAGGGTGTACTAGCTAGATGGATAGAGAACTAGTTGAGCAACAGGAGACAGAGAGTTGTAGTGGAAGGGAGTTTCTCAAAATGGAGAACTGTGACCAGTGGTGTTCCACAGGGATCCGTGTTGGGACCACTGTTGTTTGTGATATACATAAATGATCTGGAGGAAGGTATAGATGGTCTGATTAGCAAGTTTGTAGATGACACTAAGATTGGTGGAGTAGCAGATAGTGAAGGGGACTGTCAGAGAATGCAGCAGAATATAGATAGATTGGAGAGTTGGGCGGAGAAATGGCAGATGGAGTTCAATCCAGGCAAATGCGAGGTGATGCTTTTTGGAAGATCCAATTCAAAGCGAACTATACGGTAAATGGAAAAGCCCTGGGGAAAATTGATGCACAGAGAGATCTGGGTGTTCAGGTCCCTTGTACCCTGAAGGTGGCAAAGCAGGTCGATAGAGTGGTCAAGAAGGCATATGGCATGCTTTCGTTCATCGGACGGGGTATTGAGTACAAGAGTTGGAAGGTCACGTTACAGTTGTGTAGGACTTTGGTTCGACCACATTTGGAATACTGTGTACAGTTCTGGTCGCCACATTACCAAAAGGATGTGGATGCTTTGGAGAGGGTGCAGAGGAGGTTCACCAGGGTGTTGCCTGGTATGGAGGGCGCTAGCTATGTAGATTAGGATTATTTACACTAGAAGGACGGAGGTTGAGGGGGGACCTGATTTGAGGTCTACAAAATCATGAGAGGTATAGACAGGGTGGATAGCAAGAAGCTTTTTCCCCAGAGTGGGGGACTCCATTACTAGGGGTCACAATTTCAAGGTGAGAGGGGAAAAGTTTAAGGGAGATATGCATGGAAAGTTCTTTACGCAGAGGGTGGTGGGTGCCTGGAACGCGTTGCCGGCAGAGGTGGTAGAGGCAGGCACGATAGCGTCATTTAAGATGTATCTAGACAGATACATGAATGGGCAGGGAGCAGAGGGATACAGATCCTTGGAAAATAGGCGACAGGTTTAAATAGAGGATCTGGATCGGCGCAGGCTTGGAGGGCCGAAGGGCCTGTTCCTGTGCTGTAATTTTCTTTGTTCTTTGTTCTTTTTGTATACCACTGTGCAACCTCCTTTGTATGGGTGGCGGGAGAGAACATACTCAGTGGAATGTGTGACGTTGTCTGTAAGGTACGATTTGTGTATGATCATGTCAGACCGTTGCTTGACGAATTTGAGAGATGCTCTCCTGACTCTCTGAGACTTTATCAGTTTTGATAAAACGGATAGGCTTGCTAGTTCATTTCAGAGGATAGTTCAGAGTCGACCACAATGCTGTGGTTACGTGTACGCCAGGCTGATTTCCTTCCCTGTAGAGCATTAGTTGGGTTTTTATGACAGTCAATAATAGTTTAACTCCATCATTATACTTTTTAATTAAAATTAGGAACCCATAAAATTCCAACAGGACTAGATAGGGTGAATGCAGCAAGGATGTTCCTGATGATCATGGTGTCCAGAATCAGGAGTCACAGTCTAAGGGTATGAGGTGGCCCATTTACGACTGAAATATGAAGAAGTTTCTGCACCCAGAGAATGGTGAGCCTGTGGAATTCTCTGCCACAGATGGCAGTTGAGACAAAAACATTGTGTGTTTTCAAGAAGGAGTTAGATATGGGGCTAAAGGGATCAAAGGGTCTGGGGAGAAAGTGGGAACAGGGCACTCAGTTGGATGATCAATTATGATCATATTGAATGGCAGAGAAGGCTCAAAGTGCTGAATGGCCTACCCCTGCTTCTACTTTAAATATGTCATTACAGATTTAAAAAGAAAAAAATCCATCATCTGTGTTGGTGGGCTTCAAGTCTGGGACTCTACCAAAGCATCATCTGTGTTTCTGGATTACTAGTCCAGTGGCAATACCAGTACGTATTGCCTCAGCTATATTGCAGTGAATGCCTAAGTGTTTATGTCATTGTTGTATATTGAGATGTCAAGCTTCTTAAAATGTTAAAGCTGAGCCCATCCGAGTGTTCAAAAGAGGTATAAAGCTTGTAAATGATTGAAAAGGATTTCAAAATATTGCCATTAAGTATAATGTGGCTTACATAGAGATGGTGCAGAATTAGATAATGTTGTGAATGAGAATCTTATTATTGGAGCAAAGTCCAATGTTTTGTGGATGCTGACACTTGCTTCAAATAATGCAGAAAATCTTTGAATTAGAGAATTAAACATTTTTTTGAATAAATTGTTCTGCAGATGGAAGATACCTTATGGGCAGGACTGACTGACCTCCATATTAAAACTCCTATGGGCCTTACAGCAGAAAATCTTGCTGAGCAATATGAAATAAGCAGGGAGGAATGTGATGCATATGCATTGAAGACTCAGGAGAGGTGGAAAATTGGTGAGTGCTCCAGTGCTGCTATGTCATCTGTAAAGTCTGTTTGTGAAGACACTGTGAGGAAGCATCATTAGTTTATGTAGAAATGAAAGAAGGCATTTGGCACGCTTGCCTTCATTGGTCATAACAGTAAGTGTAGGCGTTGGGATGTCATGTTCTGGCTGTACATTGATGAAGCCATGTTTGGAATACTGTGTACAGTTCTGGTTACCCAGAATATGTTGTTAAACTTGAAACAGTGCAAAAAAGATTTACAAGGATGTTGCTGGGACTGGAGGATTTGGGTTATAGGGAGAGGCTGAATAGGCTGGGGCTTTTTTCCCTTTAAGGTCACCCCTCAGTCTCTGATGTTCAAGGTTTATAAAATCATGAGAGGCATTGATAAAGTGAATAGCTAAGGTCTTTTTCCTAGGGTGGGGGAGTCCAAAACTAGAGGGCATAGTAAAAGGTGAGGTGGGAAAGATTTAAAAGGGACCTGAGGGATAACTTTTTCAGAAGGGTGATGCATGCATGGAACGAGCTGACAGAAGTGGTGGAGGCTTGTACAATTACAACATTTAAAAGGCATCTGGCTGGGTATATGAATAGGAAGGGTTCAGAGGGATATGGACCAAATGCTGGCAATGGGACTAAGTCAGATTGGGATGTCTGGTTGGCGTGGATCGTTTGGACTGACTGGTCTGTTTTTATGCTGTATGACTCTGTAAATGTGAAGGTAACCACAAATACTTAAATTGTAAAACTAAATCAGAAAATACAGGGATGTTTACAAATATAACATAAAAGATAGGAACAGAAGTAGACTGTTAGACTCCCTCGAGCCTTTTTGTCATGCAATAGGATCATGATTGATCCTAACATCCATCTTCCACCCCTTTCCCCATAAGCCCTAATTCTCCTGGTCAAAAATCTATTTATCTCACTCTAAATATACACAAAGATTGTGCCCCCACAGCTCTCTGTGGCAAGGAGTTTGTTAGACTCTCAACCCTCAAAAGAAATTCCTCAATTCAGTCTTAAATTTGGTGACCTTTTAATTCTGAGACTATGTCCTTTTCATTAAAGTACCTTAGATCTTCTTACCACCAACTTGAAGATTCTTTCTTTCTTTCTTCAAGGGGACTTGACAGGTATCATGAAGTAAAATCTGTACACCTTAATTGTTTATCTATGAATTCCTTACCTGCATGTGTTATAGTGTATAACTGAATGTAAATAGCAGATTCAAGAAATCCGGTACAAACACAGGTTGCTGGAAAAGCTCAGCAGGTCTGGCAGCATTTGTGAAGAAAAATGTCAGAGTTAACGTTTTGGATCCAGTGAGCCTTCCTCAGAACAACCTTCCTCAGGCTTTCGAGGAAGGGTTTCCGGACCCAAAATGTAAACTCTGATTTTTTTTCTTCACAGCTGCTGCCAGACCTGCTGAGCTTTTCCAGCAACTTCTGTTTTTGTTCCTGATTTACAGCATCTGCAGTTCTTTTGGTTTTCACAAAAGAACAGGTACCTTAAGGCCAGTTTACCTTGCATCTGGCACTGAGAAGATGTTATTGTCTATAATAAAAGGTTACAATTGCAGAGCAATTAGAAATACATTACAAGCAGAATCAGTATTGCTTTACAATGAGGAAATCATGCCTGAAAAATTTATTAGAAATATTCAAGGTGGTAACAAGCAGGATAGATAAAGGAGAATCCATAGATTTGATATATTTGAATTTCTGAAAGGGTGTTCAATAAGGTTTCACACATTGGGCTACTTAACAAAATAAGATGAGACAAAATATTTCGAGATAGACAGGGTAGATGCAAGGAACATGTTTCCCCTGGCTGGGGTGTCCTGAACCAGTAGGCATAATTTAACAATGCCATTTAGGACCAAGATAAGGAGATTTTGTTTTAAACTCCAGAGGGTAGTGAAACTTTGGAATTCTCTACCTGAAAGGCTGTAGAATTCTTTAAGTAGATTTAAAGTGGAGGTTGTTAAATCTTTGGTGGTAAATGGCAATGGATTCTGGGAATAACATGGTTAAAAGCCATGATTGTATTAAATGCAGAACAGGCTGGATTAGCTGATTTAGTCTATTCCAATTCTCTAATGAGTGGTAAGAATGACCGAGTCTATGGAGCAATACAGACAAGTGAAGTAAGTGGGCAAAACTTGGCAATTGAAGTATATGTTGGAAAATGTGAGGTTTAGAACTTTGGCAGGAGGAATAGAGGAGCTAAATATTATTTAAGTGGAGAAAGGCATGCATGACTCAGAAAGATGGCATCCATGTTTAGCAGGTAATAGGGAAGGCAAATGGCAAGTAGGTCTTTATTTCAAATGGAATGGAGTATAAAAAATGGAAGTTTTGCTAAAACTATGCAAGGAACGAGTCAGACCACACATAGAATACTGTGAACAGTTTTTGTCCCCTTTTCTAAGAAAAAAACTATTAGTATTGGAGGCAGTCCAGGGCAGGTTCATTAGGTTGATTCTGGCTATTGAGGGGTTTCAGTTATGGAGGGATTTATGTGAAACATAAGGTTCTGAGGGGACTTGACAGGATAGATGTGGAGAGTTTGACTCCCTTTATGGGAGAGTCCAGAATCAGAGGACATAATCTGAGTAAGGGCTCACCTAGTTAGAACAAAAAAATGGGGAGGAATTATGAGGTGTGAATCTATGGAATTCTTTACTGCAGTAGAGAAATCAAGGGTTATGGGGAAAGGCAGGAAATTAGAGTTGAGAGTTGGCAGAGCAGAGCTGATGGACAGGATGGCCAACTTCTGCTCCTTCTTCTTGTGGTCTTATGTTTGGGAATTATTAGTATTTTGGCCTGTTTTTGAAAAAAAAAATCATTTCTTTCTCCTACTAAGATTGAGAAGCAAGTAAAAATATGTATGTGTGCACCTGTGATACAAATTGCATAATACCTTTCAGCCCATGAAGCTGGTTACTTCAAAGAGGAATTGGCTCCAATTGAGATGAAAGTCAAAAAAGGAGTACAGTCTGTAACACATGATGAGCACCCTAAACCAAACACCACTGCAGAGCAGATGGCCAAGTTACCAACTGTGTTCAAGAAAAATGGCACCGTCACTGCAGGAAATGCCTCGGTATGTTCCAAACCCCTGCCGTTGTGAAATGTTGTCAAATCTACTAAATGTCTAGTTTTGCCATTAAATAGTTTTGTTTCTTTAGTTTACCTTTACTCTTCTTCCTGTTCTGGGACATGTTTGGTTTATGATTCACAACTACTTTTTCTAGCCACTGGTGCTCCCCTGGTAACTACATGAGGAATCAGACTGCACAAACATGACACCTGTTTGACATGAGATGAGTTTCTGAAGTGGCAGATGGAGTTTAATTTAGATAAACGTGAGGTATTGCATTTTGGTAAAGTAAACCCAGGGCAGGATTTATACATCTAATAGTAGGGCCCTGGATGTGTTGCCAAACGAAGAGACCTAGATGCATGTTGCATAGTCCCTTGAAAGTGGAGTGGCAGGTAGACAGGGTGGTGAAGAAGGCATTTCTGGCATGCTTGCCTTTATTAGTCTGAACATTGAGTGTAGGAGTTGGGATGTCATGTTGCGGCTGTACAGGACATTGGTGAGACCACTTTTAAAATACAGCGTATAATTCTAGTCACCCTTCTATAGGTAGGATATTGTTATTAAACTGAGAAGGTGCAGAAAAAATTTACAAGAATGTGGCCAGGACTGGAGGGTTTGAGTTATGGAGAGCGGTTAAATATGTGGGCCTTTTCTCCTGGGAGCATTGGTGACTGAGGTTATATAGAGGTTTATAAACCTTAGAGGTTTATAAAATCATGAGGGGCACAGATAGAGTAAATAGCCAAGGTCTTTTTCATAGGATGGGGGAGTTCAAAACTAGAGGGCATAGGTTTAAGGTGAAAGGGGAAGGATTTAAAAGGGACCTGAGGGGTAACTTTTTCACGCAGAGCGTGGCACCTGATGGAACAAGCTGCGAGATGAAGTGGTGCAGTTGGGTGAAATGAGAACATTTAAATGCACCTGGGATGGGTATACGAATAAAGTCAGAAGTCACATGACACTAGGTTATTGTCCAACAGGTTTATTTGAAATCACAAGCTTTCAGAGCACCGCTTCTTCATCAGGTGAAGGAGCAGTGCTCCAAAAGTTTTGATTTCAAATAAACCTGTTGGACTATAACCTGGTGTTGTGTGGCTTCTGAATTTGTCCACCCCTGTCCAACACCGGCACCTCCACATCATGGTTGATGAATAGGAAAGGTTTAGAGGGACACGGGCCAAACGCTGGCAAATGGGACTAGGTTAGATTGGGATATCTGGTCAGCATGGATGAATTGGACTGAAGGATCTGTTTTGGCACTTCTAGAGTTATTATCAAATTAATTACTTACACCTCACAACAGCACCTGTTTTTTGTTTTTGCCCCTGCCTCAGATCATTTGCTGCTGAAAGCCTGGACATTGCAGTTTTTACTTCTAAATTTGACCCTTCCAATACTCACATGGTCAGTGCTCCATTTTTCAATGTCCATATGCTGAAGATCATCAAGAAACCTGCTGCCTGTATCCTAATTCCCACTTAATTCCATTCCCCTGTTACCCCGTGCTCATTGATCTACATTTGCACCCAGTTCAGCAATGTTTCAAGTTTGAAATTCTTATAGAATTTGAAAAGAAAGATATGATCTCATGCTGTTACTGTTACCAATTAGAGATACATCCTTTCTCCTCCTCCGGTCCTTTAGCTGTCTTGATCACTGCACCTCTCCAGTTTTGGCTTCTTTTAGCCTCAACCCAAATTTTAATTATACTACCATTGGCAGCCATGCCTTCAACTCTGGAATTCTCTGCCTAAAACTCTCTGCCTGTCTACTTTACTTTATTCTTCCTCCTTTAGATGCTCTTCAAATCAAAAAGTTAGCTGTTTAATCAAGCTTTTGATAACCTGCCTGGAAATCTCCTTATGGCTCTGTTGATTTTTTTTCTCTCTGATTCTCCTTTGAAGTACCTTGGAAATTGTTTATCACATTAAAAGCATGCTATAAGTAAAAGTTGTTGTAGATATTGCTTACTGAATTGATTATTCTTCTTGTGTGAACCTAGATAATGTGTTCAGAGGTTATTTGATCATGGGCCATCACTACCAGGATTGATCTTATTTTTTTTCCCAGATGTCCACACATGGGTACTTTGCAGCAGGAATTGCAAGATAGAAATCAGGACCAAAAATGTTAATAACTTTTCCCTACCGTCTCCTAAATCAGGATCACTGAAGGGAGTTGGATGCTCCAACTGCAGTCTAGCAAGGTGATTTTGAGACCATTGAGAAGTTGGACAATCCTGTCCCCCATGGCTTAGTTCATTTGCTGAGTCATCAGATATTACTAGCTTGTTCCTTGTGAATTTTGTTAGTCAGGTAACATAATGAAAGTACAGAAGTGTAAACAGATAGTAACTATCCCAGAGCCTTGGTTGCACAAGATTATTGAACAAATACAATCAGATTTTGTTTTGAGAACAATAAGATACTTTACAGTTTGGAAAGCTGGCTATAATTTACATTTCTTAGGGAGTGTGTGATGGAGCTGCTGCAGTGATTATAGCCAGTGAAGATGCCGTCCAGAAACACAAACTGACCCCACTGGCCAGAATAGTGGCCCATCATGTGTGTGGATGTGATCCAAGCATTATGGGAATTGGTGAGTACTACTGTATGTTCAGTAAAGATAAAGGGCAGACAGTAGCACAGTGATATTGTGTAATTAGTAATACAGAGGCCTGGCCTAATGGCCTTGGGACCTGAGTTAAAATCTGACCAAGACAGTTAGTGAAGAATTCAGTTAATAAATCTAAAAAAAATGAAACTCCGCTCAGTAATGGTGACCATAAAGAAAAGTAATTGATTATCTAGTTCATTAACAGCCTTCAAGAAAGGAAATCTTCCATCCTTACCTGTGACCCCAAACCTGCATTTTCTGAAGAAGGTGTCTAGGCCCGAAACGTCAGCCTTCCTGCTCCGCTGATGCTGCTTGGCCTGCTGTGTTCATCCAGCTCTACACCTTGTTATCTCACCTATCCTCTGAAGAAACGAAGGAAAATCTCTCAGACTGATATGAAGCAATCATATAATTGAATATGAAGCTTCAAAATGATTGAAGTGTTTTTTGCTAAAGTACTTTCACCCTTAAGTTGGTGATTAAATTCACCCTTAGATGGATGATTCTATGGTAGAGTTAATTGATCTCAGGCATTTGGTGGTTGCAATTGGTTTCAGCACCACTGCATTATCAAAACAAAAATAAACGAGTTGCTGATTGACATACTCCAATGGGAGAAAACTCAGTGACGGATGAAAGATAAGAATAATTGTGATCCCCTGCACAGCCTATCCTACCAAACATTCACTGCATAGGCTCTAATGCCAGGTACTAATCAGTGCTTTGAGACAAAACACTGAGGAAAACTAATCATAAAATTTTCCGGGAACTAACCAGCCACTAAGTTTCCTTTTAGATGATGATTAACCAATTCCAAGTGGTCCACTATCAGGTTATAAGACTGTTTGTATCAATTGAGTCATCTAAATTTGCAATTGTAGTCAAAATATTAACTTTCCATGTGAAAATCCTCTCTATTGTTTTAATTGAGGTAGCACTTGCATTAAACGTGATGAGGAATAACAACGCAATTTGTTAAACTGGATTATAAAATACAATCCTAACATAATTTTTCGTTTAATTCCATTTTGTGGGGAGACGGAGGGTGGAGAAGTTAAGTTTGTTGTAAGTGTTCTAATCTGAATTTGAAGTGAGATCCATTGCTGCAGTGTGGAATGCACATCCTGTGAAATGTTAGGAATCTGGGTTTATTGAAGATGCTAATTTGCACTAGTTTGCAGCTACCCAGATAGTGGCAGTCCTTTAAAACCAACTTTTATCCGTGAGCCTATAGAATGTGTAACTATCTTATTTGTCATTGGAGCTTCATTTTTGTCCCTGTCCATTACCTGTAATTGTATGTAATATTTAGCAGGAGTTATCAGACGACAATCAGGAACAAGAATCCTGAACCAACCCCTCCCCCATCTTCCATCACTTTATTGTGGTTCTGATGTCCAGTTGTGGAATTTCCTAACTGCCACCCCAGAAACGTTAGAGATTGAACTGAGAAATAGCCTGGCTTGTATGGGTCAGTGATAATTTAGCACCATTTTGAGTGGTCTGTTCACCACCTGACTCAGGAAATCTCAGCAATTTTATATTGGACACCAACCTTGTGTCTCAAGACAACAAAACAGCTTTAAAGGAACTTTTCTGCTTAATAGGGCCAGTTTCAGGTTTCCAAAACATTAAACCATTCTTTTCTGTCAGATGCTGATTAACATATTTTGAAGTAAATTGGCAGAAGCCTGATTGCTGACAATCCTTGATTAAATATTTGGGAGATTTGAAGGTGGAAAAAAATAAAATTGGTAGTTAAGGAAGCAGCAATTAGTTATTTCAATGATACATTGTTTTTTTTTAATTAAAGATTTTGCTTCTCTGACCAAACATGAAACTCATTTCCAGTCTCTCCTTATAATTTTCTCTCAATCATTAGCAAATAAACAGAATTGATTTATTTAGGAAGATGAATTTTACTAATAAAGAAAGCATTAAAACTTCAATGTGAATGCCATTGCATACCTCTGCTGTGAAAAATTATCTGGCGTTTGTTCACGGCTTCCTGTGGTCAGAATGGCTGAAACTAAGAACTTTAATGTAGGGTGACTGCGTTGCCAGCAGATGGTACAGCATGTTGGTGTCTAAGTATTCTAACTTTCTACATACTTTGTGTTTTAATAGCTGGAGAATTTAGTGGAAAAACTTAAGAACTCAAAGCTTATTTCCTTACTAATTAGCTCTTATTTTTGTCTCTGGCAGGCCCAGTGCCAGCAATCAGTGGAGTCCTGAAGAAAGCAGGATTATCCTTGAAGGACATGGATCTAGTAGAGGTCTGTGAAGACCAGTGAATTGGTTTGTGATAGCCGTAATTAGAAATATAATACAATTAAACTGCCAGGCATCTCACCCTGTTGGCTGTATCTTTTATTTCTTTCTCCCACATGTGTTTATTTAATTCCCCTTTTTACATGTTTGAGCTGTGTCTAAGTCAGCCAAAATTTGATTGAATGGTAGAGCAGGCTCAAGGGCATAGTAAGCCTGCTCTTGATTCTAATTTTACATTTACCATGAATTACTCTTCATACCACCTTTTTTTTCCCCCTCTCTCTCTTATGATGTCTGGTCAATGTTGCCTCCTTTATGGGGTTACCTTTCTGTACTTTGTACAGATTTGTTCTTTGCACATGGAGCATTGTACCATTCTTCTCCAGCGTCCTCACAGTTCACTGTCTAGGAGAAATTGTAGGGTTGGGAATAAGACTGTTGGCTGAATTTCACCTCCCTAAGCCAATGACACTGTGGCAAATTATATCTGCTGCTGTGCAGGCTGTGATAAGTAACAACATATAGATACTGGGGGTGGAAACTGTGAGCATTGGCTTGTGAACCCAGCAATTCACTGTTTCGGCCAAATGTAGCTTTGTATTTCAAACTGATCTTTACAATGTTATTGATTGTGATGTGTCCTTTCTTCAAAAGGTAAATGAAGCTTTTGCTCCTCAGTTTTTGGCTGTACAGAAGGCTCTGAAGTTGGATCCCAAAAACACTAACGTGAATGGAGGGGCCATAGCTTTAGGACACCCGCTGGGAGCATCAGGAACCAGGATAACAGCACATCTAGTTTATGAGCTGAGGTACAATAACGAGGTTTATTTATCTGTCTGTTTCTTGGCTAACTGACATGGATTTGTGTATAGATCCTGTGAATTAATTTTGAAACAAGCAACTGGCACAGTAGTGCTTCATATTAGAGCTTCACTGCGTAGTGCAGAGGACTGTAGGATCAGTTGTTTGTTTACTCCGTTCTCAATGAGCAGAGTTTCTGACCTTGAACCAAGCTATTACAATGGGGAATTGTACCAATTCCTGACGTGTCTAAAATGCATTTTCTGTTTTAAGAATCCTGCATGCAATATAAAGGTGTACAACTATTCGTAGCTGAGAAACTGGGAATTGTGGGCGCTTATCTCTGTCAAAGTGTGTGTGTGTGTGTGTCTCTTTGGCCACAGTAGACTTAGTGGTGTAATGGGTTCATTGTTTTGTAATCCAGACTAATCTCTATGATGGGTATGACAATGCCACTCCAGATTCAATAATATTATATAACTAGCCATTGCTGAAAAGGTAACAAGTTGAATCTGAAAAATCGTGCGCTCAGAACTAGGACTCAAGAAACCAGTGCGAAGAAAAGGCACTATCTTATACAGTCTGAGAAGAAGGTGCTGATTAGTTGGGTCATCACCGACATTGAGATGCATCAAGGACAGTTAACTGTCAAACTTAATTCTAGAACCATGCAGACAGCTTCTGATTTGTCAGGGTATTTTCACTGGATACAGCAGAGATCATCTCAGTCACCATTAAACATTTTTAAACAAAAAGGGTGCAACACACAAATGTCTTTTGACTACATAAAGCTGGATTCTGTGTATTCACATTTGTGGTTTCTACCATGCATCAATTCATCACGTTGCAAGCCCGACCTGATTTATCTTAAATTTGTTTCCTGTGCAACACTTCAGAGTATTTAATAAATAATTTCCAGTCACAGAATCACAACTGATATATACTTTTATCCTCAACCAACCCGCTCTTGCAAGTCTCAAATTGACATACAATATGATACAATATCCTTTTACTGTCACATGTACTCCATTGTAGGAGTACAGTGAAAAACTTTTACAATGTCTGCCTTCTTATGACGACATCTTAGGTACAAGTACCTAGGTACATTTCTTGGATACAGCAGAGGAATAGAAGTAGTTGCTTAATTACAGACTTGTAAATAAGTTTAAAAACAGGAAAATATTAAGTAAGTTCTAAGGTCCCCTCACACCAGTCTCCATCCAGGACTTGCTGCCTGTGTGATGCTCTGGGGCTGCTTCCCGTGTGCTGCTGCGGTTCTTCCCTGCCCTGCTCTGGGCTCGGGGCCCACGTGCTGCTCCAGAGCTCGCTGCTCGCGGTGTTCTGGTGATCAAGGGGCGTGCCTGCAGGCCCCAGAATATAAGGCCACGCTACCTGTGCTGATTCCGTCAAGGGAATTGGCCCACTCGCCCCGCAAATCAACTCTCTTGGGGGATGGTGTTGGGGGGGTGGGGAGTGGGGAGAAAGGGAAAACCACAAGAGAAGAGGAAAAAGAAGTGAGAAAAGAGGTAAAGGGACTGGCGAGCAGAGGAGCTCTGACTGGAGCATCCTACTCTGCCGCCATCTTGCTGATATGCTGTTCATGCGAATGGTTAACAGGGCACTTTGTTTGATATGATATGCCACTCATTGAAATCTACAGCTTACAAACCTGCATGACACTGGCACTGAAGCTCCTTTGTGTGGAGGCAGAATATTATTTTGACTTGATAGTAGTACCTCATATTGCTAAAAGAAACCTTTAAATTTTTCACTATGTCATCACATCATGGCAATCTAGATGTGCCAGTGACTGAATCTGTGTTCAAACTCATGAGCTTAACAGCTCGTGCAGTTGAATTCAATTTCAATTACCCCATTAATGCTCAAATAAATGGTATTGCTATGGGATCCCCTCTAAGTGCAAGCCTTGTTAATGTCTTTGTTGACTACCATAAGAATTGCATCTTCAATGATCGCTACCTACCCCTTAAATATTTCTAATATATAGATAACAAATTTGCAATGTCTGAATCCACAGATGCATCAAAAGATTTTTTTCCATAGCTTAATAACTTCCATTTTGCACTCAAATATGCCAATGAAATATTGCAATAAAATTTTCTTGATATATTAGTTGAGAAATCTGCAAATGGGTTCTCAACTATATTGTATCAAAAATCTCCTTGAGAGGGTCCATATCTACCACTTTTGGCCCTGAACAGTGCCCAGCTTACATTGCAATACCCTGCCGTTCATTGAATACTCCTTTGTCTTGTTAGTTCTTCCAAAGTGCATCATTTCACATTTATCAGGTTCAAGTTGTACCTTCTACTGCCCATCTGACCAATTGTCCTGTAACCTACGACCGTCCTCTTCACTGTTGAGCACCCGGACAATCTTTGTATCATCCACAAACTTGCTTATTATTCCCCCCAACATTCTCATCTACATCATTTATGAATATCACAAACAATAAGGGACCTAGCACTGATCCCTGTGGTATGCCACTGCAAACCGGGCACCAGTTACACAAACAGCCTTTACCACCACCCTCTGCCTTGTACCACTCGGCCAATTTTGGATCCAATTTGCTAAGTTACTCTAGATCCCTTGTGCTTTTACTTTCTTTATCAATTTCCATATAAGCTCCATCAACTGCCCTAACCTCATTAAAATCACCTTGATCACCTCCTTGAAAAATCAAACTAATTCAATAGGCATGATCTCCCTCTGATAAAGCCATACTGACGATCCCTGATCAAACCTTTCCTCTCTGAATGGAGATTGACTGACTTTCTTTTTCTACTGTTTTCTCCAATACTCCTGTAGCACTGTTGTAAGACTCAACTGGTCTATAGTTCCCTGGTCCATCTCTACCACCCTTCTGTGTGGCCAGAGATTATTCAAAAATTAGGGCCAGGACCCCTGTTATTTTCTGAACAGCAGCCAGGGATACAACTCGTCTGGACCAGCAGCCTTGATGACAAGAGGAGTCACTCTCACCTCACATTATCGACGTTTGAAGTAAGGCTGTAATGAGGTCAGGAGCTGAGTGGCCCGGGGAGAACCAAACTGAGCATCACTGAGCAGGTTGTTGCTAAACAGGTTGTTACCTTCTATCACTTTACTGATGATTGAGAGTAGACTGATAGGGCGGTAATTGCCTGGCTTGGATTTGTCATCTTTTGTGTACAGGACGTACCTGGACATTTTTCCATGTTTTTGGGAAGGTGCCCAAAGTGTTGGAAAAGTGCTGACAGCTTAACTCGGGACACAAGAAGTTCTGGAGCACAAGTCTTCTGTACAGGTGCAGGATTGTTTTCAGGGCCCATAGTCTTTGCAGTATCTAGTGCCTCTAACCACTTGGAGTGAATCAAATTGGCTGATGTGTGATGCTCGGGACCTTTGGAGAAGGCCAAGATGGATTATCCACTCAGCACTTCTGGCTGAAGATTGTTGCAAATGCTTCAGCCTTATCTTTTGCACTGATATACTGGGCTGTTCCATTATTAAGAATAGAGCTGTTTGTGGAGCCTGCTGCACGGAGTTGTTTAATTGTTCACCATTCATGACTGGGTGTGGCAGGACTCCAGAGTTTATATCTGATCTGTTGGTTGTGGAATCGCTTAACTCTGTCTATTACTCACTATTTACGCTGCTTGGCACACAAGTAGTCTTGTTTTGTAGCTTCACCAGGCTAATACCTCATTTTTAGATATGCTGGATGCTGTTCCTGGCATGCCCTTCTGCAGTCTTTGTTGAACCAAGGTTGATCCCCAGGCTTAATGGTTATAGGAGAGGACAATGTGCTGAGCCATGAGGTTGCATATTGTGTTGGAATGCGATTTTGCTACTGCTGATAGTCCACAGTGCCTTTTGGATGCCCAGTATTGAGGTCTATCCAATTTAACATGGTGATAATTCCACACAACATGGTCAAGGACCATTTTGTGCTCTTGTACTTATTCCTTCTCATACTAACAAAGCTGCCATACCAGCTTTATCTTCCACCTGTCCTTTCAAAAAGTTCCATACCCCTGAATATTTAGTTTCCAGCATTGATCTTCAAGTCTCTGGAATGGGCAAACAATCATCCCATTTAATCTCTATCTGCACAGTTAATTCATTCTACTGCCTTTTCTGCTCACTCCCCATCCTTACCACCACCTTTCCCCACAACTTACACCCAGCGACACCCCCATCCTCATTCATCTTCACCTGAGTCCCTCAGCAGTCCTTGGCCTCTCCCTGGTTGTATTACCAATGTCTGGTACCTCTGCTGATGGTGCTGTTGCAATGGACAGTTGCCTGGAAGGACTTGCTTGGTGGGAGTAGGGTGGAATGTCAGCCCTGAGGATACTTTATCTCGGAGAAACCCTGACACTCGAATACCTGGGAGGCATGACAGGCTTTCCCCAAAGAAGGCAATGCCTGTATTAAAACCACCAAATGACTATTTTGAAATAAGATGCCTACAAAAAAAAGCTAATGCCAGCTCCTAAGTTGTTTATAGCTTACAGTTTTTATTTCATATAAAAATGCATCTGACAACCCAAGAATAATGAAAAATGTATTTTTGAATTTCTTTTGAAGCAAAAGTTATTAATGTATTAGCTCTAATATTTATTAAGTAAAAACAGAAAATGTTGAACTTATTCAGCAATCTAATAGAGAGAAATTGTTCAATGTTAGGAATTTTGATGGATAAAATCATTCCTGAAAAGTTAATAGATTCTCAAGTACTGATTGTATTAAATGTTTCCTCTATATTCTAATTGGGTCATTTGTAGATGTGTATGTCAGCAGTAGGTGGTGCTCTTGTACTCTTTGTTTATGAACAAAAGTACCCACTTTATTATTATTGTTGATTTGCTTTCCTGCTTCATAACGTTGAGCACTCATGTCTTTTGTGATTATATCATTATAACATAATATAAAACTTGAATTTTTCTACATTAAAAGCACAATATAGTCTACAGAGTATATAAGAGGCTTAAGAAGTACACGGTCACAGAGTCACAGAAGATGTTAGGACGAGATGATTACCAGTAGCTTTGTCAAACTGGTTTACAGGAGGGCCTCAGAGGAATTGTAGTAATGGAAATGTGGATCGTTACAGTACAGATTTTCTGGAATACTGCCTGAAGTAAGGAACTACAATCTGAGAAAGACCTTGAAAAATAATTTGTTCCATTGGAACAATGCAGATTATGAGCTTAAATTTCAGTTGTCTCAGCATCCATAATTGTGGAAGTTTTGGATTAAAGTTTCCCTTTATGTGAGGAAAGATTTTCTTTTCATAGTTTTACACCTAGCTCTAGTTTTAAGGTTATGTCATGTTCTCTTGCTGTGGGTTTTTCTACTTGGGATAATACTGAGAAATAATTATCTTATCTGATCCCTTTTATTGTTTTATTTAACCACCTCAATTAGATCACTTATTTCCCTGCAACTAAATGGATGCTATTCCTTGATTTTGACTAGAAGGTTACTAATTTAGGAGCCAATCCTGAATGTATTCTGCAAAATATTCCTCACTTTAAACACATGGCTTATCTTTATTATTGTCACGATGTGGAGGTGCTAGTGTTGGACTGGGATGGACAAAGCCAGAAGTCACACGACATCAGATTACAGTCCAAAGTTAAACTGACGAAGGGGCCGTGGTCCGAAAGCCTGTGAGATTTCAAATGAACTTGTTGGACTGTAACCTGGTATCGTGTGACTTCTGACTTTATTATAGTCATTAGGATAGCTGACATTTCCCTGTTGATCTTTTAATTCTCAGCTTTCAAAGGGCAATCGGTTTTGTCTCACACCTGTTGTGCAGTGAGTGACCTTTATAAAAATAAAACCCTTCCTATTTCTTAACTCTATATAATGTGTAAATATTCATTATTAATATAACTATACATATCTTGCATTGTTATTAATTCTGGTTTTGTTCTAATGCTTTGTGCATTCACATAAAAACCACACAATACTGACTATTTTTCTGACATGTCCTTGGTAAACTCATATATTTTACTTTTTGATACTGTTTAAACTACTCCAATAGACTTAATCTCTCATACTTTAGCTATGTTTCCATTTTTTTTTGTCTGATAGCTGATATTATTAGAAAATATTTTTGCTTCTATCTCAAAAGCCTTACTAATCATACTGTTTTTCCAAATCTGGATTTTCCACGCCATTTGAATTTAAATCATCCCCTCATCTTTTTGGTATGGTTCTATTTTTGTTTTATTCATGGGATGAGGTTGTCGTTGGCTAGGCCAGCATTTATTACGTGTCCATAATTGTCCAGAGGGCAGTTAAGAGTCAACCACATTGCTGTGGTTCTGGAATCACATATAGGCTGTTACTGAACCAGAGATAGTTGGAACTGCCAATGCTGGAGAATCTGAGATAACAAGGTGTAGAGCTGGATGAACACAGCCGGCCAAGCAGCATCAGAAGAGCAGGAAAGCTGACGTTTCGGGTCGAGACCTTTCTTCAGAAACACTGAAGAAGTTTTTTTTTTCTGAAGAAGTGTCTCGATCCGAAACGTCAGCTTTCCTGCTCCTCTGATGCTGCTTGTTACTGAACCAAGTAGTTTTTCCTGACAATCAACAATGGTCATCAGCAGACTCCTAATTCCAGGTTTTAATGAATTCAAATTCTATGGTGTGATCATTCTGGGGAACCAGGTTATTATCTGGGTCTCTGGATTAATGGCCTAGTGATATTTTTGCTAGATGATCACTGCCCCACCTCTTATCTGACAAATAACTAGCACCCAAGAATGTGAACTTGTCCCTCCTTCCTTCACCGCTGCAGCCACACGTTAACATTTCTCATAAGTCTTGGTTTTCAATCTAGTGCCTGCACTATAATCACTGGGTTGAAATTCTATAACTCTCTGTCTAACAGTTGAAAGATTTGCAGAGGTTCAAGAAGACTCACCACCAACTTCTAGCCTTGCTCATATCACAAGAATGAGTTTTAAAAGACATTGACTTCCTCTGTGCGAATCTCCAAACATGACATCTGTCAACACCATTGGGAGAAACAACCTCTGTCTGTCCTTTATCTTTGTTTTTTCTGCTCAAGCAATGATACATTTAAGGCTGACATCAAGGTGGCTGCACACTGCAAAATAGGCAGCCCATAACCCTGACAACAGAATGTGTCCAGGCCACACCTTGCTATCCCTTTCTATTCTTTCATCTACTTGCCTCTCATCTTTTGAGGTAATCCTTGGATCCAGAGTATTACTCAGACCATCTTCTGAGTTGCTGTCACTGTCTTCCTTATATTTGCCCAATACTAAGTGCTTTTTGGATAATTTCAGTAATTTGAGGATGTCTTGTCCCTGTGCATCCTGCTTTCGTCAGCTGCCTCATGTAAATTGTCATGTCCTTACTATATCATCCCTGTGATCCTGCCCTTTGGGTGATTTCAGGCACTCCTCATCCTTTCTGATGCAGTAAATTATGGTCAGTTGCTTCTTGAGCCAAAATTCCTTGCTTCAGGAACTCCGATTTCCTTTTGCTTTTTTTTCATTCTTTCATGGTATGTGGGTTTCATTAGCAATTTGTCCATCTCTATCTGCCGTTGAACTGAGTGAATTGGCCTGAGCAAGCCAAAGGGAAGTTAAGAATTACTGTCATTGCTGCGGGTAAGAGCGGCAGATTTCCATGTCCGACGAACAGTAGTGAATCAGCTAGATCTTTACAGCAATCGACAATGGATTCATTACCACCGTTTGCTGAGACTAGCTTTTAATTCCAGGTTTATTCAACCAGCTACTGTGGCCGTAATTGAACCAGTGTGTCCAGAGCATTAGTCTGGGCCCCAAATTACTAATCCCCTGATATTACCAACACACCACTGCCTCTCTCTGTGTATTGTATGATACTCTGTGCATACATCACACATGTTCTCTGAACAGCCATCTGAGAGATTTTCAACACGCAAGTTCACTGCTGGCACAAAACTCTCCCAAAGAAGAATCACATTCCTTTTACTGACCTCATAACTATTAATTTGAAACTTAATAACAATCGTGTTTCGTGACACCCAAAAGCTGAACTCCTGCTGAGGTGAAATGTCACATTCCACTGTCCTCTGAGAGCTCATGAAGCTTCAAATGCCAGTAAGAAAACTATCCAAGAGATGTGATATTGTTAAATAAGAGCATAAAATGAGAACAGGCTATTCCGTTAATCAGTTTGCATCTACCATGTACCTGTTATGGATTTCGTTGCCACATGACTTGATTTAGTTTCTTTCTCAGCTTCATGCCCCCCTTCCCCTGCACAGCCAAGACATTCTATCTCCAACCTTGATTATTTCTACAGTTTTCCTTTCAAATTAGCACAAGGCTAGGGGGCAAATGCTGAAAATGGGATTAGAATTGTTAAGTGCTTGTATTTGGCTGGTGCAGACTCAATTGGCGAATGGACGCTTTCTGTGCTGTGGATCTCTGACTGTGTTATTCCCCCTGGTTCCTTCATTGACTCAGGATGATGCTTCATGTTCCTTGGTGAAAAGCTGTATGGAGGTCGTGAAGGTACCAATTCTAAACTTGTGTATCTCCATCTGATTATGTTATCATGAGCTATCACAGTTTCTTGAATAGTACAAGGGGAAAATAACAATAGCTTCAACTTCTAGCAGAATAGCCAGTAAAAATCAATGAGCTTTTCCACCAAGGAGAAAATTATTGCTGAGCTCACTTTGCCTGGCTCAATGCCCTGTCATATAAATACATTCCTACTGAAAGCAACACTTGGGAATTGAGGTAAAATGCAGAACTCTGGATGCTGGAAATCTAAAATGAAAACAGAAATTGCTGGAGGCACTCAGCAGGCCTGTAGAGAGAAAGCAGAGTTAATTCTTCAAGTACAGTGACCCTTCTTAGAAATTGAAGACCTGGTTAACATTTCAGGCCAATGACCTTTCATCCAAACTCTGTCACACATCTTTCTAAAACCCATAGTTAATATTCCGGTACCTTTTTGGAGCTTGTTCCAGCAAATACATCATTGTGGTTTTCATTTTCCTTATAAAAAGCTCTTGAGCCTAGGTCAATAAACTTCAAAAACTGAGATTGATATTTTTTGGTCAGGCATGCGTATTGAAAGTTTTGCAACCTAGTTGGATAAGTACAGATTAGTTGTAGCCGAATTGAATATGCAACTTGCACAGGGAGCTGAATGGCCTACTGTTCCTGTGTTAATGAATTGTTCATGTAAAGTGATGTTGATTGTGTTCATACCTTTTCAGACGCCGTGGTGGTAAATATGCAGTAGGTTCGGCCTGCATCGGCGGTGGGCAAGGAATCGCCATCATCATTGAGAACATGAAGTAAAGAAAAAGGGAAACAAACAATGTTGTGCTACAAGAACTAAACTACAGTATTTGATGCTTGTTGCTGGCTTTGTTTTGTGGTAATCGCTGCAGTATCTTACACTAAGGCCCTACCCAACTCCTTCCAAAAATATAATCTAAAAAATTATTAAGCATTCCCATTTTGGGAAAAGGATTGGCAATAATGTAAATGGAAAGGGATGGTAACAATGCCAGGGGTATGGGCCAGCCAGCATTTGCTTGTGAGTATGCAACAAAAATCAGTGGAAATTCTGCAGAGTATCACTGTTCAAGAATACCAAAGAAATTCTAATCATACAAAAATTGTGTTGGCTAGAATTTGAATTTCTTTTTCTAATTTTCCTCAGGCCTTTAATGTTCAGAAAATCTTCTCCAGCTGATTTACATTTGATTTAGAGCACAGATGGTTGGACAACAGAAGGCAAGTTTGTAGGAATCAATTGAAATCACTTATTGTACATAGCCAAGAGACTAACAGCATAAGAAATAAAAGCAAGAGTAGACCATACATCTGTGCGGTCTGCTCTGCTTTTCAATAAAATTATGATTTATTTTGGCCTTAGTACTGCTTTTCTGCCTGTTCCTTGTACTTCTTGGCTTCTGCTATAGTTCAAAAATCTGTCCCTTAGAGTCATGAATAAATTCATTGAATTAAATCAGTCTTACATAAATGATCTCTTATTCTGAAAGTTTGTCCCCAGTTCTGAATTCTGCAATGAAGGGAAACATTCTCCCAGGATTTGCTTGATCAAGCCACAACTTTAAATGTTTCAATAAGATCACCTCTCATTCTTCTAAACTTGAGTGCTGTACCTTCCCCCATACCTCAGAAGCCAACCCTTTCATCCCAGGAATCCGTCTACTGAATATTCTGAACTACTTCCAATGCCATCTCTCCTCAAATAAAAAATGACCAAAACTGTATGCAGTGTTCTTGGTGAGTCTCCACTATATAGTTGTATCAAGGTGTCCCTACATTTGTATTCCATTCCCCTTGTAATAATGGCTAACATTCCATTTGCCTTCTTAATTATTTGATGTATCTGCCTGCTAATCCATGTACCTGCACACCCAGGTGCCTCTGCATTGTGGCATTCTGCAGCCTCTCTCCATTTAAATAATACCTTCCTTTTTCTGTTTTCCTACAAAGATTGATAACTTTTTCGACATTATACTCCATTTGCCAAATTTTCTGTCATTCAGTTAACCAATCTGTATCTCTTTGCAAACTTTGTATCCTCCTCACAACTTGTTTTTCTACAATCTTTGTACCATTAGCAAATCTGGTGACTTGTTCCCTTCATCCAAGTAACCAATATATAATATACACAATTGAGATTGCAACACCGTCACACCACTAGACAACACAGTATGGAGCTGGAGGAACACAGCCTGACCTGCTGTGTTCCTTCAGCTCCATACTGCGTTGTCTCTGACTCCAGCATCTGCAATTTCTTGCTATCACTGTCACACCACTAGTTAGTTTTCGAACCTTTAAAGTTATTCATTTATGCAGACTCTGTTTTAACTATTAGTTAGCCAATTCTTTATCCATTGCTTACATTTTGCCCTCCAAGTCATGAGTTCTTACTTAATGTATTCACCTTTCATATCGCACCTTATTGAGTATCTTTTGAAAATTCAAATATACAACATGCATCTTGCTCATTGCACCCCCTAAAGAATTCCACTTTCATAAAACCATATTGACTCTGCTGGATTGTCCTTTTTTTTTTAATATAAAGCTGCTCCCTCCTAAACAATGGGTTCCAGAATTTTCCTAAATACAGGTGTTAGGCTAACTGGTCTACAATTTCTTAAATAACCAAGGACACGAGATTAAAATGAGGAAGTTAGGACTAAGAAGGGAATTTGGGGGAACATTTTGGCTTTTTGATCAAAAGATAGTGGAATAGGCTTCCAGGAAAAGTCAGCAAAAGTGTAAATTGATTAGTTTTATCTGGAAAAAGAATTGATTGTTATATTAGACTTACCTTCCAAGTACAGCATTGAACACAGTTGTCATTGCCTAATCCTAGAAAATATGATATGATCAATGTTTTCATTTCCTGTTTCTTTCCCAAACAAAAACTCCTTAAATGAGCCAAAGTGACTAAATTAATTACACTGTGGTAGGCAATTCTGAGACTTGAGTACATGATTAACTGCTTGGGAATGCCAACACTGTGGTCACTAAACCACTGGGATTTTTCTTCCAGCATCAGTAGATTTATTGAAATCTGCTAATGTAAAATAGTATATTTTAAATCTCTCATCTCTAATCCTCAGAATATTTATTTGCTGTTGGGAATTTAATTTTGTTTTCCTTTAATCTTTGAAAAATGTTGCAAAACCAATCCAGGCTACTTATCTTTTCTTAAAATTGATTTTTCCCTAATTTTTGCTTTCTTAAAGGAGCAAGTTACATTGGGATTCTATTCATACGTGCTCAAAGCTGTCACTATATGTATTCTTTGGATATAAATCCAAACAGTGAATGTCAGGCGGTTATTTCACCACAGAAGGGAATCACAGTTAAGGCCAATCTTATATTCATCTGGGCCCATAGTTTTCTAATTGTGTAACATTTGAAAAAGGAATGAATCATTTTTTAAATCTCCCTGTTAATTTATGGGGGATTTTACATCAATGCCTGCAGTCACAATCTGCAGTCACAAACTTTTCAGCAGATAGCCCCAGATGATGATCAAGTTATGTTTTTTCTTGCTTTCGCTCTCGCTCTTGCTCTCTCTTCCCTTCCCTCTGTCTGTCCAGCTCACTCGCGCTTTCTGTCTGGTCTCATTCTGTTACACATGTGCAATGTAGTGGAGCAGAGTATTTGTATGCCTGAAACCCCATGTCAGAGACTGTACAATTGGGCACTAGGCCTTGTGTATAGACCGTATGGGTGAATCAGTAGAACTGCCACAGACGGATGTGTTGGCCTGGCAAAACCACAAAGGCTGTTATTTTTCACCATATGTTATTGGTTTGGGGAAGGCAGAAGCTGTTGTAAAACATAAGAGCATAATGAATGGAATTCCTGGGACCACTCTTTGATTTAGGATGGGTGGACATCAAACCCCTTATCCTTTTAATGCCTACCTCACTCTTACCTACTGTACACTTTACTCTTTTACTGGAATTTATGGCACTCCCCAAATTGCAGGTGGATTTGTTATTTTGGAATGCCTTGACTTTTTGCCCTGCTACATCTTTGAATTGTTAAAGATTAAAATTATGCAACATTCATCACCAACATCACTTCCTCTATAGTATAGACCACAATGTAAAAACGCTAAAGTATTGAATGCTGACCTATTTAGAGAATGTTAAATTGGCAATTGAAATTTCCTGTAATTAAGTTCAAACAGCTTAATTTTTATGTTGTTTTCATGTTGCTATTTCATTTTCTTCTGGGTGTTGGTAGGTGGCGTAACATCATTTGATTGTGCAAATCCATGAAATGATTTCTGCAGATTTTGAAGAATGTCAGAAAATTTGCAGGTTTCATGTTCCAATACAAATCTTGCTGCAGCACCTATAGCCTTGGGCTATATTGTAAATAGTGTTGTAATAACAGCAACACAAGAGGCAATTGTCCTTATTATCATATTTATATATCCACCACTCTGTAAGATCCTAGAAAGGGGAAACTGTCTGTGACATTTGAATAAGAATAATCATTAATTATGGTGTAGTGATGATTTTGTAAATGAATCCCAGCACTTTTTCTGAAAATCAAATTTCTAATGATAAAGCAATGACTCATCCCTTAATAGCACCGTGTCTCATGCAGCAGTCTATAATTTAACAAATTTTGCCTACATACCCCTCTAATTAGAACACCTCCATCTCCTTAACTTGTGGCTTCCAAAGCTTATTCCTGAAAGGAAGTGCTTTCTTTCTTACTGTCTTGTGGAACGTGGATATCCTCAGCATTTATTGCTTATCCTGAATTTCCTTTGATCAGAGTAGTTTGCTTGACTGTTTTGAGGGCAGTTGAGAGTCAACCAAGTTATTATGGATCTGAAGTCGCATGCAGGCCAGACCATGCAAGGATGGCAAATTTCCTTCTGTAAAAGACATTTGTTAGTTGATGGTATTTTTATGACAATCAATGATAGTTTCTTGATCACCTTAACTGATACTAGCTTCTAATTCCAGATTTTCCACTAGTGAATTTAAATTTCAGCACCTGCTATAGAGGGATTTTGATCTTGCATTACTAGAGCATTAGCCTAGCCCTCTAGATTGCTAGCCTTGTGATATTTCCACTATGCCGTCACCTCCCCAGTTTGAACTGGACTTTGTTTCTGCGCAGGAAATGTACCCTTTTTGTTGTTCCAGCCTATACAAATTGAGGACACAGTGGGGCACCTAAAAGTAGTGCTGATGCTGATTAATGCATTGTGCAATTTATTTTTTTTTAGTTTCAAAATTTATAATATTAATCAGTTTTTTTTCCCCTTTTACTTGCCAAGGTGTGTTAGAACATATTGGCTGGAACTGAGATTTTTATAAAAAACATAATTGCATCCATTCTAGATCTGTTATCCATATCATCTCTAATGTTCATAATTCATAAGCAAACTTAAAATTGTGCCTTACATACCATGATGTATTGTTGCTATATGAAACAGTGATAGAAAATAAATTACTAATGATTTGGTTTTATTGGTGCAATAATTTTATTGTGCTGCATTGTAATGTGCACTATTGAAATAAAATATAAATGTTATTTTTTTATATATTTTCCTTCTCCTACCCATCTTTGGGCTGCCTTGCTCCATACATTATCCTTTTGAGGAGAGCAGGGGGTGGATTATAGACTTGGATCCCTGATTTACTGCCAGGCATCCTCTAGTAAATGCATGTGAACATCCTGAGGGTGTATGTTATTTCCTTTCTCTTCCCCATATTCCAAATGTCGCCAACAGTAGAGCCAACATCAGCTTGTTTTGCTGAAACTCGTGTGCAATCTGTTTGTCATAAAATCCAAACAATACTCTGGAGATCCACACTGGGGTTTCTGTTGGAATTTATTAACCAGATTTGACCAGTGGAAACAGAAACAGATCATGTGAACAGGAGTAGGCCATTCAGCTTGTTGAGTCTTCTCTGCCATTTATTATGATCATGGCTGATCTAGCACTTTGATGCCTTTTGTCTACACTATCCCTGTAACTGCTTGTGCCATTGGTAATCAAAAATCTATCAACCGCTTCTCTAAATATATTCGAAGACTGAGTTTCCATGGCACTGTGGGACAGAGAACTCCAAGCATTCACCAACCTGAGTAAAATAAATTCTTCTCAATCTCCCTTACTTAAAATGCCAGAGCATAGTATGAAACAAGTGCAGATAAATGTGATTAGTGTAGTTTGGTGTCAGCATAGACATGGTGGGCTGATGGGCCTGTTTCTATACTGTATGGCTCAAAATGTCATTCCTCTTTGTTTTTAAGTTGTACCTCATCTTTCCAGACTCCAACCAGGGAAAAAGTAAATTTTGCATCCACCCTGTCTGTCCCTTTAAGTGTTTTGTACATTTCAGTAAAGTCACTTTTCATTCTTTGAAACTTTAGAGAGTACAGGCCCAATTTACTCAATTTCTCTTCATTGGAGAGTCTTACCATCCTGGGAACAAGTCTGGTGAACCTTTGTTGCTATCCCTCTAAAGCAGTGATATTTTTTCTGAATCAAGGAACTAAGAACTGCTCTCAAACTCCAGATGTAGTCTGACCAAATGCCCACACAAATGAAGTAAGACTTCACTATCCAATACTCAAATCCTCTTGTAATAAAGGTTACCATTCTTTTAGCCTACCTAATAGCTTGATGTACCTGAATGTTGGCCTTCAATGGCTTATTGACAAGGCCACCCAAGTCCCTTCTCACATCTACACTTGTCAATCTCTTAACATTTAGGAAAAACTCTGGTAGAATTTTTTTCTTCTTCTGGAGTGGATAACCTTGCATTTTGCCACATTACATTCCGTCTGCCATGTTCTGGTAAACTTATTCAGATCCTTCTGAAAATATTTATATTTTCCTCCCTGCTTGGCTTTGTATCATCTGCAAATTTGGAAATTTGTTCCCCGTATCCAAATCATTTTGTATTATGAACAGCTGAAGCCCAAGTGCCTGATCCTTGTGGTACCCCACTAGTCAACCAGTGTAAGTGACCCATTTCTCCCTACTGTTTTTCTGTCTGTTAGCCAATTCTTAATCCATGTCAGTACAGTGCCTCCAATACCATGTACCATCTTTCTAACAAACCTCCTGCAAGGACTTTATCAAAAGCCTTCTGAAAATCCAAGTACACTATGGCCATCAACTCCAATTTATCAATCTTGTTCATAAAATCCCCCCAAAATCTCCCTTTGATTAATTTTATTAATATCATCTTTAAAAAAATTCCAAGTTTGTGAAATGCTATTTCCATTCATAATTCTAGCATTTCCTTATGATTGATGTAAGGCTGATTTGGTTTTATTCCTTTTCTACAGAGTGGGGTGTCATTTGCAGGCTTCCAATCTGCAGGAATCATTCCTGAATTAATGGAATTTTGGAAGATGATTACCAATGCATCAACTATCTCTATTGCCATCTCCATATGCTGGAGTGTGGACAATCAGGTCTTGATGGCATTTAAACTTTCAGCTCCATTAATTTCTCCAATATAAATTTTTTCAACTCCTCATTTTCCCTAGTCACACTAATTTTGGGAGATTTCTTGTAGCTTGTTCAGTGTAAACAAACGCAAAGGAATCATTTAGCTTTTCTGCTTCCCAATATACATTAGTTAAGATGACTGTAATTAGAGTCAGGACAATCATTTTCATTTTATGTACCGGTAGAAGCTTTTAAGGTCCATTTTTGTCTCCTTTTGCTAAATTGCATTTATGTTCTATTCCTTTCTTTACCAGTTTCTTAGTCCTCCTTTGCTGTATTCTAAACAACCAGTTTGTCCTCTCAATTTTAAGTTCCTCCCTCAATTTTACGTCATTAAGGGAATTTGATCACTTTGCTGTCATGGCTGAACATTAGCTAATGCATAGAAATTTGACACAGTGAATTGACCAGATTTCCACCTCCTGTAGTGATACCTGTGTGTAACACAGCTCAATCTTCCAGCTTATTTGCTCATCCATTTGGAAGATTTCTACTGCAAGTTCCACATAAAACACAGAATCTTAAAAATTCTACAGAATTAGCCTTTAAAAGGCCAAATTTGGATGAGTTGAGGAGCAGAAAACAAAGAAGAAAGTGCTACACACAGAATTCATCATCATGTAGCTGTCATTGTGACTGTTATATTTTTCATTGTCGTTTATTGGAATGTCTGGAGTCATTAGCCAAAAAAGATCAAGTATAATGCTAGAAGGAAGAAAAGAATATTTCAATGTCAACGTGTGGATCTCCTCGTGCAGTTTGAACAGAGAGAGACTACAGAGATTTCTGAGAAGAAAACCCCAAAGAATGTGAAACAAGAATAGAAATTGCTGGAAAATCCCAGAGTTAATGCTTGGATCCAGTGACTCTTCTTCAGAACTCAAAAAAAGTCTCATGCTAGTCCCAGCTATTCAATTCAAGAACTGTAAGTGTATGGTAAATTCAATAAGTTGACCAAGACAGGGATGGTAACAGTGCCACAACGATGCCACCCAAAGGTTGCAGGAACAGCAACTCATATTCCGCTTGGGAACCCTGCAGCCCAATGGTATCAATGTGGATTTCACAAGTTTCAAAATCTCCCCTCCCCCCACCGCATCCCAAAACCAGTCCAGCTCGTCCCTGCCTCCCTAACCTGTTCTTCCTCCCACCTATCCCCTCCTCCCACCTCAAGCCGCACCTCCATCTCCTACCGACCAACCTCATCCCGCCCCCTTGACCTGTCCGTCCTCCCTGGACTGACCT